CTTCAGCAATCTTGGGGTCCTCCATAGACCTAGAATCATTTCCAAAGACTAACAGAGTACAAAAACCACTCAATAATGAAAGCAGTCATGGAGCTGAGCAGACCACCTAACTCCTCTCCACTCAGGGATGTGCATTTCTGACAGTCTCAAAGAGGCCAGGATATCTGTTAAAGAACATGTCCAAGATTATCAGCTGGCAGAGATGAAGACTACCAAACATGTCCCCTTCCTTAAGATAGAAACTGATGAGAAGTTAATCATTCTGAGTGTTGCTGAATGGAGTCAGCATGTACTCTGGAACCAGAAGTATCCCAGTGATCTGTCCTAGAAAATTCTCCCATTTTTGCCTTTGACCATTCAAATCAAGACTTTTCTCAAACTATATATATCCTCCTTCCTGAAACTTCCCTTTCTCGCTGGTCATTTAGCATGTCATGCCAGCAAACATTTGTGCTATTGGTTTTTAAAGACCCTGGCAGAAAAATACACTCATGTATTTAATATTTAAGGTTATGAATTCCTGACTGGTGCAAATGTTTAATGTGCTTAACTGTTAACTAAAAGGTTGGAAAGTTTGAGCCTACCCAGTGCCATCTTGGAAGAAAGATTTGGCAAGCTACTTCTGAAAAACCAACTATAGAAAACATTTGGGGACCGGTTCTATTCTGATATACATGGGGTCATTATGAGTAGGAAATAACTTGAAGGTAGTAACATTCCATCACCTCAAGAATCCTTGATCTTTTGATGCGGTGGTTCATTCCAATGCCTGACATTATTATATTCTAACATTCCAGGCTAAGGAGCTCTGGTAGCATAGCAGTTACCTATCAGGCTGTGAACCTCAAGGTCAGCAGTTCGAAACTACCAGCCGCTCCGTGGGTGAAAGATAAGGCTTTCTGCTCCCGTAAAGATTTACAGCCTCAGAAACCCTCTACAGGGTCACTGTTGGTGGGAACAGACTCGAGGGCACTTAACAACAACAACCCAGGCTAACTGACTTCAAGATTACAAAATCCAGGGACCAATCCTTTCTTCACTGTTGAATCTTTCCTAACATCTCCCATGTTTGATTAAAGGTTTCAGAAACCTTGTAGTATTAGATTACATAGTAGGTAAATCAGTAACTATTGTTACTAGGATTCCAGTTTATGTTCATACATGCATGGGTTTATTACAAACAAAACATGCTTAAACATGTCTCTCCAATCAGATGATGGCTGTAGACAAACTCTCTCAGCAATACAACTGACTTAGTCTTGTTAAGGTGCCTTCCCAAACAAGGTTCAATCAAATCAGTGACTTCAGAGGGGATCTACTGCGTCAGGTACATTCCAGGCAGGGAGGTTAGCTCAGAAGTATATGGTGATTATTTTTCCTTTGGGGTGTGGGGGAGCAGAATTACAAAGAGATCATCTTGATAGATTTTCTCAAAGAATACAGGGAAATCATGAGGGTTTATTAGGAAGAAGTTTTAAGAATATTGAAAACTACACTGATGAAAAAAATGTCAGAAAAGTTGCCCTGAGAATTTTTCCCCCCATCACAACAGAACACACCTGTGCATTCTTCGAGGGTAGCAAGGGCTATCCTATGAGAATTTCTCCCATCCACCCTACAGTCCTGATCTTGCCTCTTCAGATTTCTTTTTGTTCCACAAACTCAAAGAACATTTAAAAGGAACATCATGTGAGTCCCTCAAAGAGTCCTGGTGTGGTGCTGTGTTAATGCGCTAGACTGCAAAGCTGTTTGAACTGCAAGGTCGGCGGTTCAAGCTCACCAGCTGCTCCTTGGAAACCCTAGACAGGATCACTATGGGTCTGAATCGACTCAACAGTACTTAACAACAACAACAAGGATGCCAAAACTCTGTTTATAAGTGGTGAAAACTGAAGAGCACAGAGTTCTTTGGGAAAGGGTTACAAAGATGGAAACAGCTCCTTTAGAAGTGTAGAGACCTAATGGAGGATATGTTGATAAACAATTGCTTCATATTTTGATATTTTTGTTTAATAAAAGTTTCTATGATTTTATATCAATACTTTTTTACTTAAGCACATGGTTAACTTGGTTGTGAACAGAAAGGTTGGTGATTCAAATCTACTCAGAGAGATACTTCAGAATAAATGCCTGGGCAATCCACTTCCAAAAAACCAGCCACTGAAAACCTTAGGGGGCAGAGTTCTCCTCTGACATACACGGAGTTCCCATGAGTTGGAATGGACTCAGTGGCAACTGTTTGGGGTTTTTGTTGTTATTGTTGTTTTTAATGAGGGAGCAAATGATGAGATCACACAAGGACTTTCAGTCAGGGTGCGGTCCACAGCTGGAAGCTCAGATGGCATTCCCGACATATCCTTACCAGGCTCTGGGCTGGGTGCTGGTAATAAGAGGACCTCAGGAAGCTCAGAGGGTGAAGAGGAAGAAAAGTAATTCTGACACTGTTCCGTGAGCACTATGCCTCATGGAATGATGGACACAGTAAGGTGGCACAAAAACAGGACTGATCTGTGGACGCCATTCTGAGCAGAAGTCTGAAATGTTCTTCCCTGAGAACAAAAAGCTTGACGCTATGCCAGAATGTTGGGAGAATCTGGGGAGGATGTGACTCTTGAGGAGACCTGCAGAGCTCAGTTGGGCTGGGCCACAAGGAGGTAGTTAGAGATACAGACTAAGCCTGGGGCCTGGGGCCTGGGGCCTGGGGCCTGGGGCCTGTGTATCTCAGGCTGAGGAGCTTGGACTTTTTTGTTTTGTATTTTGTAAAGGTGCTATTAAGCATGGAGATGGTGTAGTCAGACTGTTTAATAAATTCACAAATACCAAGGCAGCAAATGGAGCATGTTTCCTCACGTATCCAAACCTGTTAGGGGCAAGGGAGGCAATTTCGGCACAAATTGAATTGTAGGGAGCTATGTAATGGGGACCATGCCAAATTGAAACACAGAAAGCAGGCCAGTGTCTCAGTGACAAAGGGGCTTGATTAAATGTAAAGGCCGAGGGAGAAAAACAGCTTTTTCCTCACCGCATGTTCTCTACCAAGTTTGTGAAAAGAGGCACGCACATGAATATACCTTTTCATTAGAACTAATAAGCCCTGGAGAGTGTAAGTAGCATTTAGAAAGGTTATGGTGGTCTCAAAATACAGGTGGTGAATTAGAGAAATGGACATATTTCAGAAAGGAATTTCACTAGGGGGAAGGGGAACAGGGAGCAAGGGAAGGCGAGAAGTGAGCAGGAACACAGCCCAGCTCGAGAACAGGGAATCTCAGGTTTGAAAGGGGCATCAGGAGCTCATCTTGACCATGTAGCCATTACAGGCTGGAATCCTCTTGACCGTTCTCCTGACAAGTGGTCTTTAGCTGGCCCATCTGCAGTGACAGACAGCATACTATCTTATGTGCCACACGTACCAATGCAGCACAACCATCTTTACTGAGAGCTAGAGGTAGATTTCCTGCAGCGACACACACAATGGTCTTAGTTTCATTAATTGGCTGCTGGTGGTTATGTGCCTTGGAGTTGGTTAAGACTCATAGAGACGCTATATGGGGTTTCCGAGGCTGTAAATCTTTACAGGACCAGAAAGTTTCATCTTTCTCCCACGGAACCGCTGGTAGTTTCAAACTGCTGACCTTAAGGTTCGCAGTCCGATTCGTAACCACTATGCTATCAGAGCTCCTTTCACTAATTGGCTAGTGTGGCACAAATACAGTCTCCCTTAGGTAGTCCTCTGGAGCCCATCTCCAAAGTTATGGTTTCTTTTCTCCAGGCCAGGTTGCTTCCAGATTCTTCAGCTGTTTCTGAAGAGATGGAGTTTCAAGCCCCCTTTATCTATCTTATCTTGAAACACGTAAGTCTATCTTTATCCTTTTTAAACTAAAGGGGTCCAGAATTGATAACAAAGTCCCAGATTGAATTATTTTAGGCTTGATTTCATAGCCCAGGCTTTTTCCCCAGATTGTTAAATTGAATGAAGTCAATAGAGACTGATCTACTGATTTTCATATCTGCTGTGGCAAAGTCAAGTGTTCCCTTACTCAACAGCCTTCACTGGCTCCCCGGCACTGGCAGAAGTGTGCAGAGAAGTTTCTTTCAGAATACTGGTTGAGGGTCCTAGGTATGGGCTCTAGCTGGGCACTGCCGTGGGGTAGTATGGCAGAGCTGGTGATTTTCCACTCTGTCTCAGATTCCATGAATCCTACCAGCAATGGGGTTCAAAATGATTCTTGTTTTAGATGGGCAGCTCTATTCATGGAACCAACACACTGTCCTCTATTTGACCAATTTCTGCCCCCAGGGTCTTCATTATCTACATCCTTCTTAGATAATGAATCAATCAAACCAACCACCTCAGTAAGAAAAAGAAGAAATGCATGAATGGAAGGCCACCCTCATTCATTCATCCGTTCATTCATTCATTCATTCCACAAACAGAACTGCTATTCTTTCAGTCCAAGTTCTTTATTGGCGGGTCCACGCTGGTGGAGAGAGCTTCAATACGAGGGGCTTCAAAAAGTTCATAGAAACATTTCACTATCATTTCTTTTTGTTCCATTTTTTCCACAGTCTCCTTGTATTTCATGCCTATGTCAAGGACAGCGATGGGGCAAAGGAAGAACTGAATGAGGTTGAGGGGCTGGACCATGGCATGTGTGTTTCACGTGGTCCATGCTTTTACTCAACAACCTTGTTGGCTAGAGACTTACTGTCATTCTGCACTTGAGACCTTGAGAATCTAGGACCTAGCAGTTTGCATGATTCAAGTAAATCATACTATGGACCAGACCTTTCATCCAGTTGGAAGTCCTCCTCAACTGCACCATTTTTGCCTTACCCCTACTTCCCACTGGCTTACTGAGGAATCCCTAGTCCACAGGAAAACATTATGGGCTGTGATACTCATTCCAGAAGAGGGTTTCTCATCCTTGGGTTGCACACAAGTCTCAGCTTGCATGCCCCATCCCAGAACCCTGGCAGCAGTAGAAAGGAGGTGTACTTACACTTACTGGTTGGCTTTTTGGCACATCATAAACACCTTCCTTCTTTTGGCTGGTGGGAACCTATGGAAAAAGCAAATGCAACACAGTCAAAACACTGTTCCTCCACTTTTGAACCATAGCGTAATCAGACTTAACCCCAGGCTGGCCACAGTGTGTGTGTGAATGGCCGAGTGAGAGCCTCAGAGACCTAAGGGACTGCTCTAACTTTTCTTAGAGAGTGCACAACATTTAATAAATGTGTGACATTGGGATCTTCACAGAATCACATTGTAGGGAGCTGCACAGACCTCAGGGAGAATATGGTGGGGGGGAAATCCTATTTTTCACCGAAGATAAAAAGTAAAACCCATGGAATGCCTGTGAATGGCATTAAGCCATAAGACTATTTTTTAACTGCTAAACTAGCGTAGTGGTTACGAATCGGGCTGCGAACCTTAAGGTCAGCGGTTCGAAACTACCAGTCACTCCGCGGGAGAAAGATGAGGCTTTCTACTCCCGTAAAGATTTACACCCTCGGAAACCCTGTACAGGGTCGCTATGGGTCGGACCCGACTCGATGGCACTTAACAACAACAACAAACTATATAGAATCAAGCAGTTAGAAACTACCAGCTGTTCCACGGGAGAAAAACAAGGCTTTCTGCTCCCAGAAAGATTTACAGCCTTGGAAACCCTATGCAAGGTCACTATGAATCAAAACTGACTCCATAGCACATAACCACCAATCAGCCAGAATCAAGAAGATCTTGGCTTTTTCACCCCCCCCTAACATTTAGATCAATGTATCTTTCTTATTTTTCCCTTCCTTTTCATCCTCATCCATCTGGTTTTAGCTGGGTCACTTGTGGACAGTGATACCCTGAGCAGGTTTATTTAGCTCCCCTGAGCTTCATTCTCAGATACCGTAAAAGAATAAAAAGCTACTAGGCATCAAAATACTGTAAAGAGTTAGAATGAAAATTACTTTTGTTATTGACACATTATATGTTGTTGTTGTTGTGTGCCGTGGATTCGGTTCCGACTCATAGAGACTCTGCACAGGTTTCTGAGGCTGTAAATCTGTACGGGAGCAGAAAGCCTCATCTTTCTCCCACAGAACAGCTGGTAGTTTCGAACTGCTGACCTTGCGGCTCGCAGCCCAATTCGTAACCACTATGCTACCAGAGCTCCTTATACACATTATATAAACACAAATATTAACATATCTTATGATAATAGCAACACATCGAATACTCTTCTTTTGTGTCAATTCAGGGCTCTGAACTAAAACATTTTAGACTAGACATAATCATGAGCTTTTCTTTCCCCAGCAATTGCCACACCTGAGCTCACATCTCCCTGATAGGATCAGCCAGTGGTGGTTGTAGAACTGTCTGGCAATGTATCTTTCTTTCCATTTGACTGGGAGTTCCTTGAGAGCAGGAATCATATCTTATTCATCACTGTATTCTGATGCCTTGATCAGTGCCTAGTACCTAACAGACACTCAGTGCATTGTCTTCTGGGTAAATATCCCCAAGAAAAATATGAGGAATGCGGAAGAAAATGAGGGGGAAAGTATTTGTTAGGGTTGGATCAGGTAACTACAGTATTCTAAAAGAATTAAATGGTATGCATTTCTTGACCCTCTTTATCCTCTTCACTCTCAATTAATTTAATATCTTTACAATAACCCTATGAAGTTGGAATTATAATCTCCATTTTAAATGGAAGAAAGTGAGGCTCTGAGATGTTAGGGAAAATTCCCAAAGGGTCAATGCTATTCAGTGATAGGATTCAAACCTGGCTCTTCCAAATTAGCAAATATGTCATTTATTTATTATAAACAGTATGAGCTAACACTGAGCAGGCATTTTGTATGTACCAAGCACTGTTATAAACAGTTATGTTTTCCATATCTTCATGACAGGTTCATAAGCTTAAGATTACAATTGCCCCCAAGATCCTGAATAGTATCAAAAGTTAACACATTCAATTATGAACCAGAAAGTTAGAAGCTTGAGTCCATCGAGAGGCACCTCAGAAGAAATGCCTGGCAGTCTAGTTCCATGGAAAACCCTATGGAACCCAGTTCTTTTCTGATACACATGGAGTTACAATGAGTTGGAGTTGACTCAACAGCATTTGGTTGGTTACAATTGTCCCCCATATTTCAGAGAAAGAAAATGAGGGCTGTCAAGGGTTCTGTGAGCAGGGGAGCTAGAAGTTTGTTTGAACCCAGAAAGTTTGTTATTTTAACTGCTAAACTATATAGACAGACCTCTTAGCACCATTTCCACTAGGACCACCTTCGTGCTAGATGTTTCTCTTTCTTTGATGTTACCTTGTATGTTCTCAGAAGCTCTTTGTACATTGTTGTAGAACACAGAACTCTGAGTGAGCCTGGCTATGTTTGGAAGACACATTCTCCGAGGTGTTCCTGCAAGCCCCAGTTTGTAGGTAGCCAGCGAAGAATGTAATGTCTTTGTTCCTGATAACTGAGCTCCATTTAAAAGGAATCCTCTAAGAATGCCTACAGCATCCTTGTTAACGAGGTCCAATAAATTACCAGCCCTCACTTTTGTTTTTATTAGCTCACCCTTTCCTGAGCAAAAGGAACAGGATTCTATTCCCTGTAATTCACTGCTCACTACGGGCACTTAGCACAGTTGAACCGTAGCGGACCCTCAATTATCCCAGCAAATGGAGAAGACGCAGTGGGATGGAGAAACCCAAACTGTGCATAATTGAAAAAGCTTTTCACTTGGCTATCCCATGAGTGAGATATCAATCTGCCTGTTTGTCCTTTAAGATTTATCTCAGCCAGGACATCTTCTTGAATCAGCCTGATTCTAGACCTGGTGTGAAGCCTTCTGTGGACTCTTATAACCTGTGACACATCCTTCCATTAAAAAAAAAAAAAGTTACCGAGCCCCCATCGTGCGTCGTGTGCTGTGCTTTGCCTGGGACAATGGTGGTGCACAAGATGGACACGGCCCTTAATTTAATAGCGCTTCCTGTCTTGTTGGGGAAGATGACAGTAATCAGGCTGCCGAGGTTGAGCGTAAAATGTGCCTAATCTTATCATTGGTGTTTTCACAATAGACTGTAACTGTCTGTTCACTAGCCTGCTTTCCCACTGCTCTGGAAGCTTCTGGAGGACACGGTAGATATATTATTATCCTTATATCCCCACCACCTTGCACTTGTCCTATTGTATTGCTGTTGTTGGTTGTTGTTGAGTTGTTTCTGACTCATGGCAAACATACATACAACAGAACAAAACCTTACTTGATCTATACCATCTTCAACATTGTTGGTATATTTGAGTCTGTTGCGGTACCCACTGTGTATTCTGAGTGCTTTCCAATCTAGGGGATTTACCTTCTAGCACTATACTGTACACTATTCTATTGTGATCCATACGGTTTCTTGGGTTAATTTTCAAAATTAGATACCCAGGCCTTTTTTTCCTAGCCTGTCTTAGTCTGGGAGATCTATTAAAACCTGCCCCACCCTGACTGACCTTGAGGGTATTTGAAATATTGCGGCATAGCTTCCTGCCTCATTGCAACATGCAAGTCACCGCAGTATGACAGACAGAATAAACTTGATGATTAAATTTTGGTGAAAGAATATCTAACTGCCAATCATTTATCACAGGCATTGCTGTTGTTATTGTTAAGTGCCTCTGAGTCAGTTCCGACCCCCAGCAACCTGTAAAGGGTTTCTGAGGAGCAGCTGGTGGGTTAGAACCGCTGACCTTTTGGTTCAAACTGACTTTGTGGTCTAGTGATTATCCTGCAGCGCCAGCCACACTAGGGCTCCTATCATGGGTATGGTGGAGTGGTGGTTAGTTATACTGAAGGCAGAAACATTATTGGGATAAAGACTAAAGAAAGGCATCATTCAGTTCTCACCTCTGGTTCTGTTGGTCTATTCACCTACACAGTTCATTTCACTAATACAATCGTTAGCTTCCCGGTGAGAGGCAACATGGAGATCTGATTTCTAAGCTTGGCCTTTCCACAGGTTGTGTGACCTTGAGGTTCACTTTCTTCTCTGAACCTCTGTTTCCTCCTCTGGTTGTGTAAGCATCTGAGACACTGTCTAGAAATTCCTTGAAGGTCCTTGAGGGCCATGCCATGGCCATTATGACTTCCCCGTGTGCCTGTCACGTGCGGGGTGCTCTCTACAGAATTACTTTTTGAATCAACAAGCTAATATATGCAAAATTACTCAATGAACTATACATTATACATTGCATATGCAGAAGATGCTTTCAGCTCATCAGTGTATGAATTAATAATGTGAAGAGGCAATTCAAGGGTGTGTTGGGTGGCATGGAATTTCTGTTGCTAGTTGCTGTTGAGCTGGTTCTGAATCATGGCCACCCATGGATGCTGTATCTGCTCTACAGAGTTTTCAGTGTTGTGAACTTTTTGGATGCAGATCATCAGGCCTGACTCCGGCTAGTGGTTGAGCAGCTTAACTCCCTGTTCCATCCAGACTTTAGCATGAGACTAGAAGATTTCAACTTTAAAATAACAGTACTTGACACATCTTGTATGATTAAAAATGAGTTATGAATGTGTAAACTTGGATAGTTTCCGCTTGGAAAGCTGACATACTATTTACTTAGGAAACTTAATAAGGTATTAAAGAGCACTGGCTTTAGAATCAGGAACCCTGACCTTGAGCACAGGACACAAATTGTGGGAGTTTGATTTTCTCGTGTTTAAAATGATAGTCATCATAGGTCTTCTTCCCTTTCACTTTGCTACTGGAAGGGTCAATAGTAAGTGATGGCTCTTTATTGTCTTTGAGAAACAATGGATAAATTTATCTGAACACTCAACATGAAAGGCAATTATTATTATTAGCATAGCTTAGAAAATAAAATGACTGATCTTCAGAGAGGTAGCTTTCACTCCACAGGGTCTCTTTCTATTATTCTGAAGTTATACAGAGTAAAGTCAAAGTGAGGTTGTAGCCTCCTACTAGAGTCTCTAACAAGAGAGAGGTGATAAGTTACATTTTACTTCACTTCATACATCCATGCAGAGGTTTTAAACAGTGTC